TATGCGTTTATAGTGACTATACATTTGTGGATTGTCTCTGTTCCTGAATACGTGGCTTCTCAATGAATCATTTCTGTGCACTCCTATTACAACCCGTGGTTGAGGGTATATATCATTAAAACCTTATTTGGCATAGTAGCATCAATAATGTCTCATTTGGCTGGGAAATATGAAATGTCCCATTTTGTACATAAGATCAATCCACCTGTTAATTGTCCGAGAGCACAGGTTGTTCTGGGATCATGCAAACGGTTAGCTATATCTACAATTAAAAGCCCAAGTCGAAGTGGTAGCAGGAGGTGATCATTATAATCTGGCCACATAAAGAAACTGTGCACACAGAAAATATAAATATAGGCACACAGCGCATTTATACATAAATACATTTGTGAACATAGCAAGTATTGGAGACAATCAAACGCTCATGCACGTGCCAGGCGACGTGACGTCATTGATGGTGGCGTATAGCCTTGTAATAAAGCCATTGAACGTGCAGCCCGTACACAGCTGCACACAACATGTGAAACTCTGAAATTGATGTCACTGTTGAAAAGCTTGATCTTTGGTCATTTAAACGTTCACAAATCCACATGAGAAGTCACATGCACATCACGCCAAGATTAACATCTGTCTCAACGTCATGAAGCCATTGAAATCGGTTCGAGCGCGGTGAATGAGCCAACAACAGGTGGCAGCAATTTCCAATGCCATCGTAACACGATATCTGCATAGGTCAGGCGTTATCGAAACAGTTATGAAGTCGCCGTCCACCCACATTCTGGGCGTTCCCTGACGTAACCGCCAAGACAGGACAAGTGGATTCCGGGGACCTCATCTCAGATACAGGTTTTCAGTGACCACGCCCCAGGACCATTCTTCCAATTCCAATGCTCATTTCTAGCCTCTATGTCGTCGTCAGCTGTAATGCTGCTTCAATGCACATGGCTGGGTGTCATACCCGTTACCGATTTTGTATTGACTTTGTCGTGTGGACCCTTACCTGCGGACGATCTTCTGACGTCATCGTTACGGATATTGTTCATGTCTCTTTGACATTTCTTGTGGTCCGATACTTCAGCTTATAAAGGTCCACATCATTTCGTCTTTGCTGTGTTGTATTCTAATTATGAAGGCATTTTCTGTGTGCACAGTTTCTTCATGTGGCTATTGTATAATTGACTTTATTGCTTTTAATTGCTGCTCTTGTGTTACACTGCCTTCGAATGTGTACTCGTCACTGTGATACCTTTGTAGTGAGTTGTAAGCTTTGTTAATTTTAGCATGCAGTTGTCACGTGTTTGCTGTTGGTTGTTTTATGGACTGCTTCCCGGATAACTAAGTAACATGGACTTTCATGTGTCAAACAATCTTCGACAGGAGACTAGGGTGACCTGTACCTTGTACCTGCTGATAGGAACCAGGAAGTCACTAGGATATTCACAGCAAAATAATAACAGTACCACTCAAACAGAAAAATCTGCCACTCATGAGGCAATATCAAATGACAGACAAGTCAATAAAACAGAGAAAAAGTAACAACTGACATTCCCTATGATTCTGACAGCAGTGACACAACATTAATGGTAATGAACTTTGGGGCAGTGGAGTAGCCCATGGTTAAGGCGTCACGCCGAGACTCCGGGTTCGTTTCCCCACATGGGTACAATGTGTGAAGCTCATTTCTGGTGTCCCCTGCCTTGATATTGCTGGAATATTGCTAAAAACGGCATAAAACTAAACTCACTCACACATTCAGGGAGACATGCAGTGGGTTATAATGCCACCCTGGATATCATGCCTTGTTTTTCCAGAACGGATTTCCTGCATATGCATATGTAACACCCTGGTTATAATGCCAAACTGGATATAATGCCATATGACAATGGTTTTGGAACATTTCCCCTGGTTATAATGCTAATTACATAATATACAATATTAATTATAATGCCAACTGTCTGTAGTATTACCTTAATTGGTTAATTGAAATTCGACTCAAATTAATTGACTAAACTCATTAATGCTTTAGGTAGTCATGTAATCCCAGATGTGATAATATACTTCCTGCCACCTACAACAAGAAGTCACCTGCAGCCCCTAGACGCTGGGATTATCCAGTCATTCAAGGCTCATAACAGGAGACATCAGCTCAAACACCTTGTTGATTGCATAGAACCGCTAACTGTCCTACCTGGTTATAATGTCACCCCGGATATAATGCCATATTTTCTACTGGACAAACGGTGGCATTATAACCAGGTTATACTGTATATCATCAGGTGTTGATGAGAATTCACATCAACAGGGTGATCTCCCATTCATCTGTTCAGGGAAGCAGGAAATCACTCGATATTCACACCACATATTGTTAAAGTATTAGTCAAACAAAACATCTCTTACATTACAACAAATATTTAACCCCAGACAATTTAAGAAGAGAGAAAAAAGTAATATTGCGTAAACATCGGACGGATGGTCCCTTTAAGTATTGCGATATCCGTGCATCACACACGTGACACGGTGGAGCCAATCAGGACTGAGTATTGTTAGCGGGTCGTCCGTGCTGTATGTGTATGTATCTCGTCTTGTCACTCTGTCCTGTGTAGTCGTCACGAATACATGTTTTGTGTTATCCTTACAGTATGAATATACATGTATCTGTTTTTCAGATTACGTCACATTCTGTAAATACTCATACAAAGTCGGATATAACGTGAATATAAAACCACAAAATATGTTTAAATTTATTAGTATATTTACATAACGTGCTGTCCTTCTCGGGCACTGCGCTTCTAAAATCTATTCTCGGCGTCATTAATGAAGGGTCAAGCTAACACCCATTGGTAACACCAATTTCTTTGACAAAAGTTGTAAAATCTTCATTTTGAGGTGATATGACGATTTTGGTTTGCATGCGTGTGTATGTGTATGTGCGGCTGCTTGTACTAGCCCAGACTTAAGCTGGTTTTATAGTGCTAGTCCACTGAGATACCATGCTGCAGTGAAGCATGAATACCCAAATCAGACACATTATACTGACTCCGAGCCGACCAGTCCTTGTTGTACCCATTAATGCCGAGCGCCAGGCAGGAACCAACAAGTACCATATTTTAACGTCTTTTGGTATGACGCGGTCGGGGATCGAACCCGCGACCTTCCGCTCTCCGCAAATTGTCAATATGGAAATCCACCTGCCACTTAATGGCAATGATTTGCACGTGCAAGTCGCTATATCCATAGAAAGTAGAGGACAATACACATGCATTGATGCATATTCACTGTCGTTCACTGTTCAGGTACCTGTTTGAAATCACAGCTTAAAATGAGACGTTTTTTACAACTGATGTTTGCTAGTGCTGTTTTAACTTTTGTCTGTATGTCACGATGTGTCACGTTTGTCAACACATTAAACATTATGGTGACATTCTTAGTTCCATCATTTCTGAGAAACTTTTCTTAACATGTGTTATATATCATTTGACCCTTTATTTATGACGCCTGAAGTAGAAATGATTGTGCCCTGGGTATTCCCAAAATAGACGAAGACTTGACATTATGATTTCCCGAAGCTTCTTTTCGTTCAGAACAGCCTGCGTTCATTAGTCATCAAGTGATCACGTATATGGATTCTGTTGACAAATCTTGCTCAAATGTAGATCTGTATCGGTGTGAATGGAGATATACAGCAAATACGCTTAACTGGCGGATATAAAGAACTGTTTCTTTTGTCCCAGACTCTGACTGTATGATATAGTCGCATTGGCGGATCCAGTGGTCACACACACACACACACACACACACACACACACACACAACACACACACACACACACACACACACACACACACACACACACACACACACACACACACACACAACACACACACAACACACACACACACAACACACACTAATACACACACAACACAAAAACACACAACAAAACACACACACACACACACACACACACACACACCTGAAAACACACACACACACCTGAAAGTGGCTTAAGACCGCATTGAAGATTTTTGTTTGCGTTGGCGGAGCCGGGATGGAGTTTGTTTTCAGCAATCCATGCTTGTCATTAAAGCGACTAACGGGATCGGATTGTCAGGGCTCGGTAGTTACAATGCCATTGTATCCCCATTGCGTAGTTCGATGCTCATGTTTGTGATCACAGGATTGTCTGGTAGATTTTCGATTATTTACAGACCGCCGCCAAATAGCTGGAATTTTGCTGAGTGCGGCCTTAGACAACAGACAAATAGACACTAGCTGAATCCAAACTGCATCACCCGTACTATTCTGTGAGTATGTACCAAACATAATGCACTCTTCAAAAAAGAAGTACATAAGCCATTTTAGAACAGTTTGTTGCGTTATTTTAAGAGCAATTGTTTCATGTAATTTACAAGGTAAAACGGTGAACATTCATACGTCTATAGACAAAGTGTTCGCCAACACAACAGTATTCGTCCCCACTCTTCCTGCAATTCGATGGCCAGTTGTGGAAGTGTCTGAGGCGTGTTTTGACGTTGACGTATACGTCGATCGAGTTCATCCCATATGTATTCTATCGGGTTTTGATCTGGCAATCGATGGGTTACTGAAAGCTCATTCTAACCCGGACCTTCACGGGTGTTCTCGGTGCGAGACCGCCTCTGTGGTGTAGTGGTTAGAGCGTCCGCCCGGAGAGCGGAAGATCGCGGGTTCGATCCCCGACCGCGTCAGTCTAAAAGACGTTAAAATGGTACTTGTTGGTCCCTGCCTGGCGCTCGGCATTAATGGGTACAACAAGGACTGGTCGACTCGGAGTCAGTATAATGTGTCTGGGTGGGGTATTCATGCTTCACTGCAGCGTGGTATATCAGTGGGCTAGCACTATAAAACCAGCTTCAGTCTGGGCTAGTACAAGCAGCCACACATACACAAACAAACGCATGCACGTCGTCAAATGAGCGAAATATTCTCAAGCACGACGTTAAACCCCAATTTCACCTCACCTCACCTCTCAGTGCGATCTTGGGCGGAACTGGTCTGCAGAAAACGACCCCAAATTCGAGATATGGTGATCTGATAAACGTTGAAATGTTGGGTAACTGCAGACTGCGACGCCCCACCTTCAAGGCGGCTATGGCGATGTTTCCATTGGCGACACTCTGTCGTGGCATGATGATTTCCTCTTTCCAGGCGAAAACGAATGACAAATTAAACACAACGTATGCCTTTTTATTTTGATCGACACCACATGCACGTGTTTTCTTGGTGACTTTTGGGCTAATATTTCTTAAAACGCTTCTAAAACAAGTGGAAAAGTTAAAATTGCCGCGTTTTGTCGCTGAAGCTGTTTACAAACACACAAAGAAGACGTTTTGGAAAGAAATAGTATATTTGTATTGTTTTGCTGCAGCTACATGAGTCCAATATTCTCAAAATCACCTATGCGTTTTTCTGAAGGGTGTATATAAAATGATATGTAAGTTCAGTGTGAAATCTTATATCCATCTACTAAAGTGTTGTAAGTGAGTTGGACACTGACACTTGACATAAATATACCATGAATTCATAGATACAGTTCTCTGGATCAAAACATCAAGCAGAAAGTCACAAAATAAACATGTATCAATTCAGTGAGCCATGTTTTCTATGTGTATTTCTAAGGAATATCTGTGTCGTCTGGCGTGAGATTTGTTGTCTCACACAAGTCCTCCTGTTTATGAAAAGTTATACTTTAGATTTAGTCTGCAGTATGAAATAAAGCAATGCATTTCAATGATAAGACTAACGACGTCTGATACCTCCTAGCGCCCCAACTATATACTGAGTCAAGAAAGAAACTTCACATTCTTTCTTCAGGGAACTATAAAAGAACAAGAGATGGTAAGATGGTTAAATTGTATATGCTGTATATACAGTATATACTGATTCAAAAAGAAACTTCACATTCTTTCTTCAGGGCACAGCCCCAACACCTACGTCAGCGCCGGTAGCAATGTAGTCGTAGGTGTCACTGGCGTCAACTGGCATGCCCTTGACCTAGTGGTATGACAGCAGATCCTCGGTGAATAATCTGGCAATGGAATGCCACTATTGCCTACTGAACTGTAGCTAAACCCGACCTCCAGTCTGATTCCTTGGGACTGATAAAGAAGTGGTCCCTTCTGGAGTGACCTCAGGGCAACGGCAGTCACAGACTCAGCACCAGCACCTGCGTCATCGTCGGTGGCGATGTATTTGTGGGTGGCAGTGACCTCAGTCGACAAAACACGTTGTGTGCTAAGATAACCTCAAAGCTTAAACTTGTGCATGGAATTCCACTGTTTCCGTTTCCCACTAAACTAACAGCGTATCGTACACATAATACAACCACATCTACACACAGTAGGCACCCTATTGACATGTTGGTTATTTTAATATCTGTTTTTGTTGCTTTTAGTTGATAAATAGGGTAAGAAGTATATTCCTTTTTCATATATACAAATTATATATGCCTTGTGCAGAAATGGGGGTTTTATTCATTATTATGACTTTTTAGAGCTAAAGATAACTCTTTTATGTAAATTTAAGACTAAAATCAAACTTAAAAGATCTGGTGACTTACAGGATATAGGAAATATATTCCCTAACCAAATATGCTTGGTATTTGATATTAAACCATTGTTTTGTTCCAGGTTTTTGCAACTGTTCAGTTCCCGGTTAAATTTTGGTGGCCATCTCGGATTTTGAGCTAAAAATAGCTTTCACATTAATACTCAGACTGGAACCAAACATTTTTTAAACTCCTTTAACATATAAACACAAAAGAATATATGATTTGCTTTCATCAAAAAACTTTCATGGAATCACATAAGCTACCTGACTACTTATAAACATATAAAAATGACACTATGGTTATATGTCAAGTGAAAATATCTTATAAATTAGAAATAGCAATCTGGTAACTATGAGAATATTCCAAACTTCAAAACACATTAACCATTCATAAATAGGTAATTATTCACTACGAATGGGTCAGTTATTTACAGACGCAAATCTACAATGAATGGCAAAGGTGATATTCCATTCAAAACAGATTTGTCAGTAACTCAGAATAATTCTGATCCAAATAACACATCCCCTGATTTTTAACGTAAACAGAATCATAGTTAGATATTCTCGAGTGTTACAGTTCATATTTCGTTTTGTTCTTTTGCGATAGACTTTGTAATAATCTCTAATAGTAAAACATGAATAATCACTGCAAATACTAGCATCTATTTTTATCATTATAGGATATTTATATAGCGCACATATTAACTCAACTAGTGCTTGCTCAAGGCGCTGCACGATCAGTGTTTCGAGCATTGGCGTCAGTACTGCACATGTAGAGTGTCATGCTGCTGATGAAGACTTGTCTACCGTCTCTTGTTTTTGTAGGATCCTGTAACGTTGTGGCCTGATATCAGTACTCCTGTTATATCTGCATATTTCGGATGACAAACATACATCATGACCCACATGGGTCTGTCAAAGTCTACATCTGTAACAGTGGTGTACACTGTGTCATCAGCAGCATTGATAACTGACAGTTTGTTGTTAGCTCCATCCAGTACAAAACCCAGTGGCAGGTCATAAGACTGGCCAACTTTGTTCCGGGTGAGTGGGATGTGTTTGAGGATAGTGTCATTATAGCCAACCTGGAGACACAGCTGCTGCTTGTGTCTTGAACATGCAACAACACCTACTCTGATTCCACTGAGTTGACTGACGGGAGTGTCTACAGGGGTGGGGGTCAGAGCAGTCTCTAGAATCATACATTTGTCTGGCATTCTTTCTTTCACAGAGAACCCAAAGTTTACTTGATAGATGCACAGTTGGTCGGGGCTGTTTCGGACCATCAGAGGGCTTGACGCCAGAACGGATCTGATTTCTTGTATTCGACATCCTGTATCAGGATAAGGATCAATTGGTGGATTGTTGGTGACGACCCGCCTAGATACACATACAGCGCCATAAGCTGTACCTGGGTCCCATTCCAGCATAGCGCCTGTGTAACGAATAACGTCCATAATTAAACCATCTCCATTGCAGTGAATGATAATCTATTAATATTATAAAACAGAAATTAGGAGATAGCACAGTTTTTCTAGCTGTAAAGTAACCTTTAATTGAACCGTTAGACAGGATCCAAACAGCGATCTTTACCTCTTAGGCAAAATAACTGGGTATCATGTTAGTATTGTAAATATCACACTAGTGTGATGTATTGACCAATGTGACACAGAAAACGTATTGAAGCATCACCAAGGACACCAGGTCCTCATCCAGAAGTACTCTCCTTCAGATAACCATATCCATTTGCAATATTTTTCAAAACACGATAAACAGTGGACAAAGGGATATCTAGCTCTTCACAAACTAATAAAAAGGATTAACGGAGTTGTCTCTCTTGAATGAAACCATGCACTTGATAGCTGGTCAAGGTTGTTTTATACTAGAAATCCAATTAAACAAATTCTAAAATCCTCAATAATTTCTGGTCATACCATATTTATATTATGCACACATACATTCATACGTACCTACCTACCTACCTACCTACCTACCTACCTACCTACCTACCTACCTACCTACCTACCTACCTACCTACCTACATACATACCTACCTACCTACCTACCTACCTACCTACCTACCTACATACCTACATACCTACATACCTACATACATACATACATACATACATACATACATACATACATACATACATACATACATACATACATACATACATACATACATACATACATACATACATACATACATACATACATACATACATACATACATACATACATACATACATACATACATATACTCAGACCCTGGTATGCTGAAGGTGTGTAGCTGGCTGTATCATCTCAGATAATTTGAGCAGCATGACCAATTTGCCTGATCGGATTGATTGACCAAATCGCATTTGGTTTAAAATACCAAGTTGTGAATTAGTTTTGTACTACATACCTGTCGGTAACTCTGCTGGATCCAGTATGATGGCATTGTATGCTTCAGAATCTGTCACATCTTTCGGCCTGTCTGTTGGGGAAAACGTGACTGATCTGACCATTCCAGCTGCCTTGATACTATCACGATGATGATGTATATTTGCCTTGACAAAGTTCACACCAGTCCTGACAAAGGAGGCATCTTGTAAAGTCTCTTCCAGCATGGTGCTTAAAGGGACAAGGGAAGACTCCATAACTTGAAGATCCTCTATCGTGTCAGCTTTACTTCTCATTAGTTTTGTGTATTCAATAGAAGATTTTACTCTAGACTGCAAATCTCTTGTTTTCTCCAGTGCATCCTTTGTCAGTTGAAGATTTTGTGCAGATTTATGTTCAACATCTGATAAGAGGACTGACCTCCTTTGCTTCAGCTCATTGGTCAGGTTGTTGATATCATCTGTGGCAACCCTCTTTGACATTTCAATGTTCTTCAGCTTCTTCCTTAATTCTACTTCTGTTTTGTCCAGTGTCTCTGACTTCGCATTTATCTTCACAAAAACGTCTTCTAAGGATTTCGAGAGTTCTTGGTGTGCCTTATCCACAGACACAACATTGTGTCCCTTCCCTTTATCGTGATCTACAACAGTGCACGAAACACAGACGACCTTGGTACAAGTGTGGCAGTAGAACTGTAGAGGCTGCTGGTGTTGACTACACTGATGTCGACGACGGAAACTCTGCACAGGTCGCCCTTCATCTCATCAAAGGTAACTATTGTGTGTGCCTTTGTTGTTACATTCCTCCTGTGGGCATTTAGACAGATAGAACAGAGAAATACCCCACAGTTGTCACACTGGGCTTGAGCTGTTTCCTTGTCAGGACAGTCTGTACATGGAAGATTAAGACCTTTCTGGATCTTGAGGTAGTTCAGAGTCTTCAGGATGACCGTTTCTTTGGGCAGGGATTTCACTCCACCAGGCAGGTTATGTTGGTGTCGACACATAGGGCAGGACATGGTTGTCTTGCCTCCACTGTAGGTTTCTAGACAGGGCTGACATATGGACTGGACACAGCATGGCATACGACGAGGAATTCGTATTGATTCATCAAAGTGTTCTGTGCATATTGGACACTCTGTCAGAAGATCCTTGATCGCAGCCACTGAGACAAGATCCGACATGGTTGCCTG